CATGACAAGTATCCCCCCTGTGATTAATGAACAAGCTGGATGTGTTTCTTTAGAAGTTAACAAAACATGCTACAGTACAGTAAACCCAATAAACACTCAATTGTAAATCAGGAGGGAAACCTAAAGCCAACCTTATTCCACTGACAAATGCTACCACTAAATGCCTTTTGGCATTTAGTTGAAATGACTGTCTTTAGTGAAGAAGGCACAGAGCTGAAACATTTGTCTGCAGAATTGCATTCCTTTATTGTTATTTTTTTCCCCAGAGTGTACCTTGCAAAAATTCATTTGTAATACTAGAAGGAATCTTTAGGAACCAGTTCTCCTACCTGGAAACAGCTTCTCTTAAAAAATGTAAATTATAGAGCAGATTGTGACACGTGGGCTCGACTAGGGAAGGGGTTTTTTTTTGAAAAATTATTGCCCACTTTTTTCTTCAGATCAAAGAGCAAGGCAATGTAAGTCCATTAAGCAAGCTTAATATATAAATTAGATGCTTTCCTAAAATTATTGTAATCCAAAGCAATTCTGTACTTTTTCCCCATCGTAGCTGAATACCATTTTAGGTTTCCAATACATATTAATGAAGCTTGGTTGCTAGAAAGCTATTTATATTTTCCACCATTGTATCAGGTAAGATACACCATTTTGTCACCCAATGTCGAGGATGAACAACTTGGATTACGTGCTTATGAAACATTAGAAAGTACAAACAACCTTGCAAAGAGCTCCCTCCATGTATGCAGTCAGCCCACTTCACGCCCAGGAGCCAGACCCCACATGCAAGCAGCTTTGGCAGAGGCTGCTCAGGCATTAATCGAGGGCTGAACCCACAATTCCACCTGCCCAGGACTTGCCTCAAGCCTTGCAGGGACTGTGTATGTGGAAAGAGTTACACTATAAATCCCAGTAAAGGGCTGAACACCAGCTAATTCCTCATTCTGCAAACATCACTTTGGTGGAGGCGCTTGTGGAACCAACTGTTTAACAAGTTTTCAGGAGTCAGAGCGAGG